ACCGAAGAAATGTTCCACTTTACTGGGTACATCACATCGCAATCCACTCGATGTTACATCCCTCTATAGGCATACGCCACCGACACCCAAGTAGGGAGTCTTACGCAATGGACACATAAATAATATTGCTAAAAGTTCTGTATCATAAAAAGGAAAAAAAAAACACTTTCACATGATCCAGCGAAAAAGCAGAGAAAGTGGAACAAGGTTGTTAAAAAAAATCAAAATTAACAACAACACACAAAAGCAACAAAAGCAAAGTTAAAACAACAACAACAACAACATCTGTGCCTGAGTAACGAGGTCTACTGAACATCTAATTTCACTATCACTGATCATAACTTGCCGCGGTAAATGTAATTGCAACACTCTGTTTGTCAGTCTAATTGAGGGTACGTCCTGCATTCCTGTTTGCAAACAAGTGATATCAAACGCAACTTTTCAGTCTTTGTCAGTTATCTTTGTTCAGCGGGCAGACTTGGGAGCAAACGAAGTGGACAAGGGTGCAGCCTAAATCTTGCATGGAATTAAATACCATTCGTGCGGTGCCTATCAAATAGATTTTCAATGCACGCACACAAATTAACCAGTAAGTACTTAATTTTTTACGCCGCAAGTAACATTATTTCTTTCAAGGCTGAACATTGGTTACAATAACATATCAAGGCCTCCCTGTTTTCTTAATTCAATTTGACGTTGGTGGTGAAGATGTGCACCAATTGTCTCAACAGGTTTTGTTTAGCGAAGACTAGGGTAATTAAATATTCTATCATGATTCGTATGCAAATTTGCAACCAGAAGGCGTCTGTGTTCCTAAATCACTGCGCCATTTGAATATTTGTCTACTGTTGTACCCGTCTATTGTGTAATTGCAAGGGGGGATTCCCTGGAAGTGTCTGTGATTGGCTAGTTTTCCGTAAAAGATGTGACTTTTTCAAATATTGAGTCTTATGAGAATGCATCTAATTGCGTGGCAGTGGAACAATTGATCGAGGCTTCTCTTCATGCGGACTAGTCATTCAAGAAGATTAATTGTGAAAATGAGGTTCTTCTTTCCTATTCCCTTGGAGAGTGAAAAATAGAAAACTACAAATTGAAGAAAACGAAAACTGGCGCACGAGCTGGTCATAATTTTCACACCCACAATTGAACATTTCTACTTTATTTCCGTTCCCATGCGACGGCTGAAGGAGGTAACGTGCTCGTGCTGTGATTTCTATGTGGCCGTTTTTAGTTTTTACCGTCACAGTTTCCTTGCAAACGCATTTTTATTGCGGTTACTTGGTACCTGATAAATTCTCGTATTTACACAATAATGTATACTAATAACGTTGCAAATGAGTCAAATTATGCGCTGTTCGTTTCCACACTGAAAAAAGGAGAGCCTTCCCGTTTGATTTCTTTATTTACTCCAAGCTATAAAATGCAGCTGTGAGCAAGAGAACCGTTATCTGATGTCTTCCATTGGATACCAATGACCATAAGTAAACCACGGGCAATATCTAATCTTATACTTTGTTGGATTTGTAATATCCACAGCCAAAACATTTGCAACAAAGTGGGAAAGTTTCTAAAGAAACTGTGGTTTTGCGTCGGTGGGGGAGTATCACGAAATAATTTGGTTTTATCAACTGAATTGTAAATGTAAACTAGCCACCGTAAAGACAATCTAAGGCAAACATTTCGAGCGCTAGCCCTCTTTCAGAGCTCACGACGAAGGGCCAACGCTTGTGACGTCAGCTCTAGAAACTTTTTACAGTGGCTAATTTATATCATCATTTTCAACTCAGTTAGAAACCAAAAGATTTTCAGTCAAGAACTATGAATCAGATTTCACGTGACATTAACTTTATCGTTAATGAAGTATGAAGTCGGATGTGATATTTACATAAGTCCAGAACCCTCTAAGGAATAATTTACTGATTGACATGGATCGTTGATTTCGACGCGGGAAGAAAGTCAGTGACGGTAAACACTCCATTTGCTCTGGTAGGATTAAAATGAAAATTGAGAGGATATCATTAACATACGGTCAAACAAAACAAAGCAACTGGTTTCACATTTAAGTTATGAACTTTAATTCATTCATATATTACACTTCGCTACAAACAATTTAACCTAAGAAAGTGCGCAAAAAATAGAATCTGTAGATGGGTAGCGTGCACATTGCGCATACACTGTTTGAGATTTTCAAGTTACAAAAGTATATTTCAAATCATCCTCGCTTTTCCTTGTCCATATTTGTGTTTCACGTTCAAAAATATTTAATTTCCTCTAAGGATGATAGCGATGAATATTGAGTTTCTTGTATGTTCTTAGCAAGACCACTTAAATTTCATTTTATCACTTTCAGCTTTTTCCGTATCGTTAGTAATAGGGAAATTTTTTTTAAAACGCTTTCATTGCTTGGCGGAAACACTCGAATAAACCTTTCAAAGATTTTACTCGGTCTAGACAAACGAGAAGGGAGTCATTAATAGCTAGTTCTGACTGCGTGCCAAAATTTGAGTTTCTGTTTTGCTTCTGAATTTTCGTTTAGTGTTAATGAATAGCAAATCACCAAATACAGCATGCATTTCTTTGATGGTTGGCTGGTTTCTGCCCCCCAATAGATGGCTCTTCAACGGAGTTCAGTACAATAGACACTGAAGATACACTAAGTAATAACATTTCATCTTGCTATCTATGTGAAGGCCAAGAAAAAACAGTGAAGAATTGCAAGAAAGCGACAAAACTTTTAAGTCTGTAATACATGTTTCGACAGAAACTTCTGTCATCTTCAGTTAATTACTGTACAAAGCGTTGGAAGTTGAATTATATTGTAAGTAGAACAATACTAATAAGATGAATAGTGACAATAAGAAAAGAGGTAAAGCATGTAAGTGTGAGAATTAAAAGGATAGTTTTAGATTTACATGGTGTAATTGTTGATTCAAGGATGGTTTTGCTCTTTGAATATGAATAGCCTCTTTTATCTTGAGTTGAAAATCGGTAGAGGCGTGATCCAAAACATGGAAGCTATCTGCTGAACACAAAGCGCGACAATGTGAGGCCCTGTCACTGACTAAGGGCTCTCTAACACGTGTGGAAAAATGCCGGCACGTTTCACCGACGTAACAGGAATTACAGCCAGCACATACAAACTTTTAAACCACACATGAACGGAGGCCGTCAAGGACAGGGTCTTTCACACCAAATAAGTTTCCGAACTTAAAGGAAGAGAAAACCAGCTTTATATTCAAGTCGTTGCAATAGCGCTTAAAAAAATGGCGAATCATTCACAGCCTTTCGCGTAAAGAATTATAGTTCCACACAGGCGTAAATGACTGGTTACGATTTGTTCTAATGCATAAAGTGTCAAGAACTGGGAGAGCAAGTGTGCAACACACTTTTGGGGTTTCATTCCCTCACAGGATGTGACTCAAACAGTTCCTTGGCTGGGATTGGAATAAAGACAGGTTGGAATGTACTCAAGCGCAGTGTTGCTCATCAGGATGCCATGCGGCTTGTAGGTCAACAGCACGAGTTAGATGAGAGAACAGCAGCCAAAGTGGAAGCTTATGTTTGAGACCCTTTTTTTCCCCACATCGACTTCCAGCCACGAGCTCAGATTAAGCGATTGTTTGAGGAAAGTGAACTAGTCAGTGGGGACAGAGAAGCTATTAGAAAGTTTTCAGATAAATACATTGTCCCTGAAAAGCTTTGTGGCAGAGCATGTTGAGCACCTCATCCAGATAAAAATGCGCAAGGAGAAGAAGAAAGAGGAGACTGAAACGAAGCAAATGGAACGGCTGAACCGGGAGTACAATGACCTTGACTGGGTTGGACTGTACAACTCCGATAAGTTGTCGTCCTTGAGAGTGGACGAGCTATCCTTGTACTTTTCCCATCAGAAGATCACCTTCAAAGGGAAGAAAGCTGCAAGGGTCGCAATGATCAAAGCGCACATTGGCAGCTTGCTGTACGATTCAATGGAGTGTCAACAACCTCGGCAGCCCCTGCAAGGAAATTTGCAGCAACAAGTGACCTCATCACTTTCCGAGGTTGAAACTGACTCGCAAAGTGATGTAGTAGACCGAGTTGTCGGTTAAAGCCTGAGTAGCTGAAGTGACGAATCGTCACCGGAGACTAATTTTATACCAGAACCCGCGCGGAAACATTACCGCCATCAAAATATGGACGAAAGTGGGCACGGGTCGAGAAATACGATTATGTTAGTTGGGGAAGATAGTTTTTTGATAAAATATTTCGACACCTGTGAATAATTTTGATTAATCTTGACTGGTAGCTTTGCTTGTATATACAAGTTTTAGGTTTCTATACACTTCGCGTGTTCTATACACATGTGCGTGTTAGGAGACAACTTAGCGACATGGAGTAATTTAATCCTTGCCAAAAAAACTGTGACCCTCCCCCGGTTGCGAATAAAACAGGTTTGAATTGGGGAGGGTCCCATTTTTTCCTCTTTCCCCCCCCCCCCAATAAAAAACGTACCTTCCCTTACTGCATCCTATCAATGGAGTATTCGCGCGCGTAGTTCCCCTGAACTACGCGCGAACTAATTCTCTAAATACGATGACGCTAACCCATGGGGTAACAAAGAGTTCACGATGTATGACAAACTACTAAATGTCCACGGCTTTCTATTACGTGTAAAAAAAGTCGCACTACGTATACGTGTGTGTGTTTTCCTTCCCGAAAAGCATACGTCATCTGTCACGGGAAAAAGTGAAAGTAAGGACATTTCGATCATAGTCTGGGATAATAAGCCTTTCAATTATATTTTACTATTTGTTATTTAATTTGGTACTTAAATTGTTCTTCTTGGCCATGATTAACATGGTTTATTATATACTCAACAAAATATCGCGTTTCTGATTGGTCAATGATGAATGCATAAATAGGTTATAGAGTGCAATAGAGGTTATAGAGTGCAATACGGAGAAGTTGCCATGGAAACACCGGGGAAGCGCCAAATTTGAACACCAAATTATAAAAAAATGGCTGACAGCCAGTTTGCTTTGTCAAACCAAAACATCGCTGAGCAACTTAAAGAAAATGCGAAAAACAAAAACACGTTGAAAGCTACACAGACCTGGTTAAATGTCTGGCAAACATGGGCGACTCAACGAAAAGTAAACCCAAAAATGGAAGAATACGAGCACGAACAACTCGATAAAATGTTGCAAATCTTCCACACAGAAATACGCACAAAAGACGGGTGTGAGTACGAACCTGAGAGTTTAAAATCCATGCTGGCAGCCCTCGACCGCTATTTAAAAGAGCATGACTACAAGTACTCTATTATACGAGACCGAGAGTTTCACCAGTCGAAGTTGGTACTCGAAGGAAAAGTGAAGTGTCTCCGTCAACAAGGAAAAGGCAAGAGACCCAACGCCGCGAACGCACAGACAGCCGAAGAAGAAAAAATGCTATGGAGTGAACTAAGTCTCGGCGACTGCAGTCCAAGAGTTCTTTCCCAGACGATGTGGTGGATCTTGACTCAACATTTTGGCCTGAGGGGAAGACAGGAACACCATTCAATGGAAGTCGAGGACTTCAGTTTTTGTGTGGACGACAGCGGCACAGAGTACGTCACATTTAAAGAAAATCCTACAAAGACGAGGCAGGGAGGACTGAACACAAAACATCGTAGTGTTCTGCCAAAAATGTTCGCTACTGGCGGTCAGAGATGTCCTGTTGAGTTACTGAAGCAATACCTTAGTAGGCGTCCTCAAGAGCTGCGCGACAAAGGTCCTTTTTACCTTGCCATAATCGAAAATCCTAAAACAAATGTTTGCTACAAGAAGCAGCGGCTCGGCGTAAACAGCATCGACAATATGATGAAGAGCGTCGTCAAGAACACAGCTCTGGAAACAAGCAAGAAGAAATTGACTAACCACACCGCAAGGAAGACAGTTGTGAAGAAACTCAGAGCAGCAAGCGTCGAGAGGCAGTCGATAATCCAGGTGACCGGCCACGCAAGTGAAAAGTCTCTTAACGACTACGATGAAGGTAGCGAGAAGGAACAGCGACAGCTTTCAAACATTATCAGCAATGCTCCACAGTCAGTAGCCTCCAGCAGTTTTCCTGGTCTACCAATGTGGTCTTCTCCTGCAACGACTTCAACGTGTGAACAGGTGAAAACAAGCGGCCATGCTTTCACTGTGAACAACTTTCACAACTGTCAAGTCACATTTAACGGGATTCAGGGGCAATGCAGTTCACCAAAGTCTACAAGTCAGAATGTTTAGTCCAGGAGCATATGTCTGACAAATAATTCCCGTAGGCTTTTTTGGAAGAAAGCAAATCATTAGCCTAGTAGTGTTCATTGGACCACCAGGATTCCTGAAAACGTTGTTGACAATTTTGTTAAGCGTTCAGAGGATAATTATGGCGTGTTTAAAAAGGGCCTAGCTGATGCAGCATGAAAACGAGGCTAAAAAACTATAAAGGGCCATTATTTCTTTCTAATTCAGGGAAACTCAACCAAATTCACCAGGTACAATAAGCAAGCAACCCCGAAGCCAACGGATTAGTTTAATTCATTAGCGGAGGTCACGTGATCTATCTAGCATGAAAGCGAGGCTGTAAGCTGGGCATGAAATGAAGGTCAGCCCATATCCCGGACTCGTGGCCCAACTCCTTAAATATAATTATGAGACAGTTCTGATGCCAGAAAATTGTTTTTTTGTTTTGTTTTGTTTTTGCTTTTTTTTTTATTAATTAAGGAAACAAGGCTGCTAACTTAAAACCCAGGCCTAAAATTTCGGGAAGAAAACCTCCATATTTATAAAAAATATATATATTCTTTTCGCATTCCTATTCTATTTTTTTTAATAAGCAGGCACTTTATGAAGCAGTTTACATTAGAATATATTTTAGCAATGAAAAGTTCCACCATGTGTTAATTATGAAAAAAGACTGGGACCTTAGTTTTGGCAGTACGTACTGGTCAGCTGACTTTTTCATCGTAGAAGTAGTTCGCCATATTGAACTTCCAGATAATGTAGAGTTGTAGATATGGCTGATTTCAGCCTTTGTTTAATATGCCAAAAGGAGAAAAGTGAACAGCTTGTACACAGGTCAATGTTTGCGGCGGATGGATCCATGCTGCGTTGCTCTGCTAAAAGTGCACTTATGGCCATATTAGAGAAGCTCCCATCCAGATCAGCCGATCAGAGAAGCATTAGTGACGGCACAACAACAAATGCAGCTCAGTCGCATTTGAAAGTGATCATCATTGATGGTATGGCAGAGCTCCAGTGCCTAGACAAGCCGGAATGGGTGAAGAACTGCGAGCAGCTTGCTATTCACTTCGTCGACACAATCGAACAGAAGTATGGCAGGAAGGATGAAGTTCGCCTGATTTTTGATCGGTATGACTTACCCATGTCGTTAAAAGAAGCCACCAGAGAGAAAGGGCAAGGAGGACAGGATCCCATCTATTATCGAATCACAGATTCCACCAACATCTCAAGAGTTTCGATGAAGAAGCTTCTGTCGCATACGAAGACGAAGATGGAACTCACCACCTACCTCGCAGACAAAGCATTCAGGCACTTCAGGGGACAGAGTGGTCGGCGATTTCTTGTTGCATGGGGCAGTGAATGTAAGGCGACCTTCAAAGATGTTGGACATCTTCAGAGCAACCAAGAAGAAGCGGACACAAAGATCATCCTTCATGCCGTTGATGCCACATCGGATGGTGCAATGGAGATCCATGTCCACTTCCCTGACACTGATGTCTTTGTTCTTGCTTTAAGACGGTTTCCAGAGCTGTGTAGCAATGTTTCATTCGTTACAGGAAAGGGGCGCAACCGCAGAGAAATTAGGCTAGAACCAATAGTTCAGGCTCTCGGGGAAGCCAGGACAGCTGCTCTTCCCACGTTCCATGCACTCAGTGGAGCAGATAACTCCGGATGCTTTTCAGGCCATGGAAAACCTTTGTGTTGGAAAGCATTTCTGAATGTTGATGAAGATGTTGTCAGAGAGATGGCCAAGCTGGGAACAACATTAACACCATCTGAAGAAATCATAAAGGCCATTGAGAAGTTTGTTTGCGAACTCTATGTTCCAAATACATCGCTTACCACCGTGAAAGAACTTCGATGGTTGTTATTTCGTAAGAAGCAAGCACAGTCAGAAAGACTGCCACCAACCCGAGGTGCTCTTCTTCAAGCTGTTCTACGAGCCCACTATCAAGCTATTGTTTGGGATAACGATGTTGTGGCAAACCCTGACATTCCGTCTCCTGAAAGCTATGGGTGGGAGAAAAGTGACAACAGATGGTTTCCAGTAATGACAAGGCTGCTGCCAGCACCAGAGGCCATAATTCAGCTAGTCAAATGCGGATGCACCAAGCAGTGCGCAAGCAACCGATGCCAGTGCCGCAGAAATGGATTGCCATGCACAGACCTTTGCTCTTGCTGTGATGAAGAGGATGAACCCTGCCAGAATGTTTTCAGTGATGTGGTAGATGACGATGAAGAATGTGATGACGAATAGGATGTCATGAAGAATAAAGAAAATTAACAGATGGACCTTGAATTAATGCTGATACATTTTTATGTGTTCCTGTAAATGAAGCTATCTTACTTTGTAGGTTAACGTTACCTTCGATATATCAGTAAGAAATATGAAAGATATAAGGTGACTGACAACTTAACACAACTTTGTGCCCAGTTGAAAGCATTTAATTTTTTCTAGTAAGTTAACACGGTGATAGTATAGTTTGTATATTTTAATCTCACCAAGGACCAGCGATTGCTATTATTATTTATGGTTTACGGGACAGAGTAAGGCTTAATGTAATTAATAAGTCTCGTTGTCATCGTTAGTTCATGATGTTACAGCAGAAATTTAGTGTAAACAGCCCTCTTGGTTGGCTTTAAAGGTCACAGCTTTGTAAATTAAGGCGATTTTGGCCAGCATCAAGAATAGGTGTTTTCATGTCATTAATCGCGAGTTATGAGCCTCGTTTTCATGCTTAGTCAATCACGTGACTTTCATTAATAAACACAGTCGATTTCCTGGCATCTGGACTGTTTCACAATTAAATTTCGGGAGTTAGGACACGAGTCCGCGGTATGGGCTAATGTTACTTTCATGCTAAACTTACTAGCCTCGCTTTCATGCTAGATCGATCACGTGACGCTTGTTAATAAAATAAACTAGTTTTTTGGCTTCAGGGTTGCTTACTTGTTGTATCTGGTGAATTTGGGTGGGTTTCACTGAATTGGAGAGAAATAATGGCCCCTTGTAGCCTCTCAGCCTCGTTTCCATGCTGGATCAGGTAGGTCCTTTTTCAATACCCCATAATAGGCCTTATTCGTATTCCCGGACGGCCTTGGGCGAGTGCACGATGTCGAGGCTCATGCGGGGGAATCTGTGATTTCAATATGGCTTTCGTAGGAGGGGCAGAGAGTGAAGTTCAAAAATGGAAAGTTCCTGAGTTGAAATCGTATTTACAGAGCCGTGGAATAACTGTTTCGCAAAAGAGAAAGGAGGAACTAGTAGAATTGGTGGAGAAGGCTCGCGATCTTTCACTCAGGGTTCGTACGGGTCCTGGAAATCCTGGAAAGTCCTGGAATTTTATTATCGCATTTTCCAGGACTGGAAAGTCCTGGAAAAGTAATGCTGGTCCTGGAAAGTCCTGGAAATCTGTTAAACTGAACAAAGTAATAAAGTTTTCTCTAAAACAAATGAGCAAAGTTTTTTTAGTATTTTTATAACGTATTCCTTTCTGGTTTTGACCGCATGACCGCATCTATATTTTTTTCATGTTTCCCGAAACTGACACGAGTGTAACTCTGGATCGAGGGCTCATGTATCATCATAAGCTCATGCGCAGTAGTAACCTTGATGCATGCATGATTTTGTAAACGGGTACTCAGTGAATGGGCGTCTTGAGTTTTAAATGTTTTGTTCCGAAATATGCCTGGGAAATGCTTGTTTAGTGACCGATGGTTGGAAAACTCTTCCTATAAATTGTGGCTGGAACGTGACGCGGACAAGTTTAAAGCAAAATGTAGAGTTTGTATGAAAGCGTTTGATGTATCAAATATGGGAGTATCGGCATTGAAAAGCCACGTAAAGGGAAAGAAGCATATTCATCTTATCGAAAAGCAACAAAGAAATACAACAGGTGACATAAGAAACCTTTTCTCGAACAGCTCTTTCGCTGCCCCTCGAACAGCCACTGAAAGTAACAACTCTACTTTGACTGTATCAAGTAGTGCCGCTAGTACAACAGCAGGTATGTCCGGGTTCGTGACGAGGAATGATACTTTAACTGCTGAAATTTGGTGGGCGCTAAAGGTGAATAGCAGCCATTATTCGTATAATTCCTGTACAGATATAAACTTCTTAGTGCAGCAAATGTTTCCAGACAGTGACATTGCAAAAGAAATTTACCTGTGGGGAGAAAAAGGCCTCCTATCTTTCTTGCTTTGGTATTGCACCATGTTTCAAGAGTCTTCTAAAGGAAAAAGTCAAATCTTCAAAGGGATATGTGCTTTTGTTTGATGAAAGTTTGAATCACGAACTGCAAAAGAAGCAGATGGATTTCCATGTTCGCATCTGGAATCATGACAAAGTTGAAACTCGCTATTATGATTCACAATTTCTTGGGCATTCTAGTGCAGAGGATATGCTTCAAATGTTTCATTCTTGCAAAGAGGACTTGAGCTGTAGAAATCTGATTCAACTCTCTATGGATGGGCCCAAGGTTAACTGGAAATTTTATGAAATGGTAGAGCAAGAATTGAAGAGTGATTTCAGTTGCACTCTCCTTAACACAGGCAGTTGTGGTATACATGTTGTGCATGGAGCTTTTAAGGATGGTTGTGATGCAGCTGGATGGACGGTGCAGAAAACTCTCTCCAGTCTTTACTGGCTGTTTAAAGACAGTCCGGCTCGAAGAGAAGACTACATTAGAATAACTGGTAGCAGTGTATTCCCCTAAAATTCTGCCAGCACCGGTGGTTAGAGAATGTGTCAGTTGCCGAGCGAGCACTGGAAGTGTGGCCTCACATTGTCAAATACATTAATGCTGTTAAGGCAAAGAAAGTTACTGATCCCAAGTCCAAATCTTACGAGACCATTAGCAGTAGTTGCTGTGATCCCTTGATGCCAGCAAAGATTGCCTTCTTCTCATCAGTGGCAAAACAGATCAATCCTTTTCTCACAGCATTTCAGACTGATAAACCTATGCTGCCATTCATGAGTATCAGTTTGTACACTTTGTTGAAATCATTGTTGAATAGGTTTATCAAGGGTGAACTTGTTACCGAGGCAACATCTCCTCTGAAGATCCTGAGGTTGAAGCCCACTGATAAAGAACAGCAGTTAGACTACCAGAAAGTTGATGTTGGCTTTGTGGCACAACACATGCTGAAAGAAAAATCTGGGAAATTGAGTGAAAGGCAAGTTCTTCAATTCAGAATGGAATGTAAAGATTTTCTTGCAAAAACAGCCTCTAAACTGCTTGACAAAACACCAATAAATTATCGACTAGTAAGAAGTATGTCTTGTCTGGATCCAAGGCTAATGGCATCAGAGAAAGAAGGATGTGTCAAAAAAAAAAAATGAAAAGAGTTCTTGGAATTCTTGTGGAAGCCCACAGATTGAAGGCTGATGAGTGTGATGAGGTGATATATCAGTTTGGACAGTTTTTGGATGAATGTGCAGGTAATCCTGACTTTGAAGATTTTGACCCTAGTGAATCCTCTTTAAGAGTCAACACACTGTTATATGAACACATGGCTGGTAATAAGCAACTGGCAAAAGCATGGGGGGTAGTTGAATTATTGCTGCTAATGTCTCATGGTCAAGCCACAGTTGAAAGAGGATTTTCTGTAAACAAAGAAGTGGCAGTTGAGAACCTGTCGGAAAGATCGTTCATTGCACAGAGGATTATTCATGATCATATTGAATCAGTTGGAGGCCTTGCCAATGTAAAAATCTCAAAGCAACTACTTATGGCATCTGCTGGAGCGCGACAGAAATATATTTCCTATCTAGAAGAGCAGAAGAGAATTAAAGTGTCCCAGGAAAACACGCTTAAAAGAAAGGCAGCAATGGATGGGATTGATGTGCTGAAGAAGAAAAAACGGCAAATTGAAACTGATATAGAGGCTCTTTTAAAGACTGCAGATGAATTTGCAGATAGGGCTGAAGATTCAAGAAACCTTACTTGGGTTGCCAAATCAAACAGTTTGCGAAGATCTGCCAAGGAAAAAAGGGCAGTCTTAAAGGACATTGAAGAGCAGTTGGAAGGAAAGCTCCAAGAGCTGAAAAATAATTAACCCCACTTTGAATCCCAAGATGTGAATATTAATTCTACTTAGTATCAGTCACGGATTTCTGATGTTACTTCTGAGATATTAAGAGTTCAATGAAAGAAGTTGATATTCTCTGTTTTCTTTGTTCTCATTTGTATGTCTGACAATGTGTTGAAATTGAAAGTAGAAATGAATCTTTTATACTTATGAGAGTGAAAGAGTTAAGGTGAATTTTGGAGTCCTGGAAAAATAATCTGAAGCCTGGAAAAGTCCTGGAAAAGTCCTGGAAAAGTCCTGGAAAAGTCCTGGAAAATTGTTTCTGAAAAAGGGTACGAACCCTGTTCACTGGAACCGATAGACGATTGGGAGAAACCGGAGGATGTGATAGTCAACAAGTTGCAGACGAAAGAAGGTTCGCTCCCCTGTCCTAACACGTTACACTCTGACTGGACTTCCGACTTTTCTGATTTTCCGAACTTCACATACGGTGATATGTACGCTTACTTAATCAATAAGGAGGGTTATGACCACGAGTCTCTCAAGGCATATAAGTCGTTCGAAGGCTACCGCCTGTTCTGGGATGGCCATGTGTTAAAATTGATGAAGAACAAGAACTTGTTCAATGGATACCACTACGTTAAATTTGGAGTAAAGCCAACGGAACGAGAGAAAACGCAAGTCGGACAGAAACCAACTTACGATGGATGGATAATAATTCAGTCAGATGGATCAGTTTACACAGCGCATTGCCCTTGTATAGGAGGGTGTGTATTCTGCTGCCTCGGCTAATATTTGGCCATCTTAAAAAATGAATTTGATTTATGTATGTGTTAAATGATAAATCCAGATTGATCTGTTCAACTGACACAATGTTGAAGTGTTAATGAAAATAATAATTTGCAGCTTTGCGAAATTTTGTACTTCGTTTCCAAATTGTTGAAGACATCTTTATACTATGCCCAAGTGTATGTGATCTCTATGGCTTTCAGAATAATTTCCTTTTATCTAGTATTCAAAACTTTGACTCTGGTCATCACAATATATCTGTTGAAACTTTTCTTAATTCCTAATTTCTTGATCAGGGCTGATGGTGCTTGCCGGCACATTGGTGCCTCGCTTATTGACCTTGAAGCTACACTGAGAGAAAATGTTGTAATACCTTGCACAGGGAGAAAGTGCACTTGGAAACAACGGAAGAGGACTCATGAGGGCATGACAAAAGGATCAGCCATGGATTTTACAAAACCCACACTGAACAAAGAGAAAAGAAGCGACTAAAACCAAGGTGTGATACTTATGACCCCAGAACTTCATATGATACGAATGTAAATTTGGCTGAGAATTTTAGAAAGCTTGTTGCTGAAACTGTTCCTTCAGCTGTATTACTGCATCTGTTACCTGACCCAGACACATGTAATGGTCAACATCCTCAACTTGATTCAGAAAATGTAAATGACATAAGAGAGGAAAATTCAATTGTTACTACATTTACATTAGATTCTTTATCACCAATGAAACCTTTGCCACCCAGTCTGGATGAGATTAAAGAAAGGGCAAGGCAATAAAAAGAAAACTTCAGTTTACAGATGATGAAATTGATGCAGTGGAAAAAAAAACACAAAACTGCAGAGTGATGCCATTGACTGGTTTCAGTACAGAACAGGAAGAATCACCGCTTCTCATTGTAAACGTATTGCAAGCTTGAAATTAACCACATCTCCAACTAAAGCTTTAAAGGAAGTTTTGAGTTACAACCAAGTGCCTTTAACAGCTGCCATGAAGGAGGGCTTGGCAAAGGAGGATGAAATTGAACAGGCACTAATAAAATACATGAAACAGAATGGACATTCTGATATAAAAGTCGAAAAGTGTGGATTTGTCATTAGCAAGACCCATGGACATATTGGTGCCTCTCCAGATAGAATAATATATGATCAGTCTGAGTCTAGCCCAGGTGTGGTTGAGATGAAATTTCTTCAGGTGAAGTCAGGGAAACCCTTGAAGATATTTTACTGAAACAGCATATTTGTATAAAAAAAAGAAGCAATGGTATAGCCCTTAATAGAAATCATAAATACTTTTATCAACTACATCAACAAATGTTTGCAACAACGTATCCCTGGGGCATATTTGTTGCTTGTGGCAGGATGGTGGTATTTATGTTGAGAAAGTGTTGTTTGATCAAGAGTTTTGGTCTCCAGTGCTAGTTAAGCTGGATTCATTTTTTGACTCGGTCATTTTACCAGAACTAGCTTTTCCAAAGGTTAAATATGGTCAGAACCGTACAGTGTTATATAGTACAGATAAATAAATATACATATAATGTAGAAACTCAACTTCCAAATATGAACCTTTCGTGACATTGAGCCTATGTAAATGCATAACTATTCCATTTATACCTAGTATAGTAGCTACTGTAAGGGGTTACATGCTCATTGTTTTTTTTAGTTCGATCAAAAAATCATATGATTTATACAGACATAAGAAAATTATTTAGACATTTACTTTGAAACAAGAGGCTTCATTAAGTTACACAGTGCTGCACATACAAACACAGTCTGATCAGCAACTGCAGCAAGGGTGATAGGTATCACACCACGTAAAATTCGGAAACACTTGAGCCGCTGGATTGCTCTTTCCACATGTATGCGAACTGCAGCTATTCTCCTGGTTTTTGTACATGCCTTTGTTGAAAGGGACTTCCCCTTTGCAAAGGGGGGAATGTTTAATGTGGCCTTTTTCTTTGTGACCATATCTCTAATATTGAATCCTCTATCAGCCATCACATCATCTAGAGGTTCCAGCTTGTCTATCAGTCCAGATTTCTGAGTTATATTTCGGTCAGAGACCCCACCAGACCAAAGTTTAGAGACAAATGTGAAGGCTCCAGTGGGTGAAATACCAACCAAGAGTTTGAAAGTGTTATGTGACTTGTAATCACTCCAAGTAATTTTCTGAGCTGAAGGTTGAGTGGACTTCTCTATAAAAAACTCTGTACAGTCAATAATTACACGGGTCCGAGGATACCTACTAAAGCTCTTAGGCATGTGCTTTTGAATTTGAACCTTTGCAGGCCATATTATAAGAACTTCCTTAAATACATGATACAAAAAGATTAATCCAAGTTGTAAAAATCTTGGAAACTGAACTTTGTGAAATTGCAAAAATGTCTGCCAGGTGACTCTGTAACAGTCCAAGCCTGAGTCTTATAAGAACCATTAAAAATTCAGAAAATAATGGCATCTGCCTCTTTGGTCCCGGCTTGTTAACATGTTCATCTTCCTGTAATAAAAGTAAAAACGTGCAGTTGAGTTGCTGAAGCAAAATGTTTAGGCAATTATCACATAGTTGGAAATCATAATAACATAATATATCATGTTATAGACCCTATGCATATATTATCATTTTGTTCATATTTAAAAAAGCCTCGCTAACGTCGTTTTTGAGACAAAATTTGTAAAGAATATGTTATCCCGATCGAGGTTAGTGAGGCTATTTTGAATACGAACAAAAAAATTCAAAGGTACCCATTTTTGCATAGGGTCTATATTGCTATTTATACCAAACATGAAACATTTTATGCCATAATGTTCATCAAAACAAATGAAAGGAAATATTAACAAGACTGCTGTGTAAACATTTTATGCCATAATGTTCATCAAAACAAATGAAAGGAAATATTAACAAGACTGCTGTGTAATAATATTAAGATACCTGATACGTTTCCCTCTGTCCCTTTTTCTTGTTGTCCCAATATTTCATTGCATTTGCAAATGGTTTCAGAAAGGGAAACAACATCATAAGACAGGCATAGGAGGGCAATCCAGTGTAGAAACACACGGACTTGTTGCTTTTTAGGACGTCGTCTATAAACATTTCTCTCTTCAGTTCTGGTTTATTTTCCAGTTTAGCTTTGGCTGCTTCCATGCAGTCGATATCTTCACAGGTAAGGTCGGTTTGGATACACTTGTCTGCAAGGGATCTTGGATCAGGTGTCTGTTCAGTTTTAATCTCACACTCTTCAGAAAAAATAAAATCCATGTCGCTCGAGCACGCAGTTTCCTGCAGTTGTGATGACAGGCCCAATGGTTCCGGGTTTTCCTTGTTTTTGTCAGTTTTACCTGCTTGTCTCCTTGGTGCAGTCTTGGTTTTGTTTTGTATGCAGCTCAAAGCTCCTCGTCTCCTTTCCTCTGGATCTGTTCGCTTCCGTCGGGTTTTGGGCTGCAAATGAGTCGGGAAACTGAAAATTGTTGGGACAGGATTAAGCTTTGAGGGTCCTAAACCACCTTCGAAGTGTGCTGAACAAATTCTTGTATGTCTTGTGACATTTAAACTGCTTAAACGACAAGCAGCTATCCACCTTTTTCTTCTCTCGTTTTTTCATTCATTCCGGGTGCGTAAGTCTTCTTTCGGTCGCCGATAGGAAAAGTGTGAAACGTTATTCCTTTGAGTTCTGGATATTTCAGATGGTTTTTTTGTTTTTCAGTGCTGTTGGAGCAGCCATATGCACAGCAGTTATGTTTAACCATGATTTTGCCGTCAAATACTGCGAACCAAAGTGACTTTCTCCGTATTTTTCCAGCTGTGTCAAAGGGTATTTTTCCCCCGCATGAGCCTCGCTTTCGCGCGAAACAAAACACTCGTCCCAGACCAGTCCGGGAATACGAATAAGGCCTATTACCGTCTAATCGCTTAACAAAATTGTCAACAACGATTTTTAGATTCCTTGTGGTCTAGTGAACCATGTTAGGCCACTGGCTTGCTTTCTTCCAAAAATGCCCACGGAATAACTTTAGCACCCAGACTAGTTATTCCCTGAGGCCGATTGAGATCAAACATTTGAAAACAGTTTAGCGGGCTTAAGTACTCTTGCCGCTTTTAATAACTGAAATTTAGCTTTTGAGTTCGGCTTGTAATATTTTCTGAGAAACTTTCAAGAACTTCACGCTTGATTTACCTGTCACAACATTACATTTTTGATTGGTTCAAATAAAACATGTGAGCATTTTGGAACCCATTGAAGTGTTTTTTGTAGTACGTTAGGCAGAGTAGCGCGATGGAGTAATTTTGTCGAGAATATAATAAATAAAAAATCGTATGAACCTGCTCGTGCATTTCGTGATTTATGGTCACTCGTGATGTTTTGAAAGTTCTCAAATTGCACTCGCCTACGGCTCGTGCAATTTT